CCCAAATGCCCCAAACACATTTCCAAGACTGCTCATGAGGCCCTTCAACGGTCCCTGGGCCATGTTGGCATGTAGCCATGTTGGCTCAAACCACAATGGCTTAATCCACCTAGCTGCGACGTTCTTCGGACTCAGGGTGGAGCTTCAGTAAGATGCACACGAAGTGGTTTGGACGAGTTCCGAATTCATCGGCCTCGACTGTTTGCGTAAGGGGATATCCAGTGTTGAGGGAAAGTGGGTTGATGCATGCCTGCTTTCGCATCGCATGTTCGTTGCGATCGGCCGAAACTCGGCCTTGCACTTGCCAAGAACATAGCATTTGCTCGTGGCGGAGAGTGCCTTTCTGCAGAGTATAGAAGCAACAGACAGCTCTTACGCTGGCGTTGCGGCAGGGGGCACGAGTGGCTCGCCATGCTGAAAAATGTCAAGGACAGGTTTTCATGGTGTCCCCGCTGCGTCGGTGATGACACGCGTGCTCGCGGTCTCCAAACATGTAGGGATATTGCTGCATCTCATGGTGGGCATATGTTGTCGCAGGCTTACGTCACTAGCACAACACATGTACTGTGGCAGTGCGCAAAGGGACACAGATGGCGCGCAGCACCGAACAATGTGCTGAACTTGAGGTCTTGGTGCCCAATGTGCGCCGGAAGGAATGTGTCCTCTGTGAGAGTCCCTGCTAGGATGGCAGAGGGTAATTCTGGAGCTGAGGGCTTTGGCAACGATTCGAAAAGGTGTTTGCTGCGTGTTGCTGAACGGCTAGCGCGAAATAACCAGTCCGTGTGTTTATCAAGTCGGTATGTCGGATACAAACATAAATTGGCATGGCAGTGCGCGCGCGGCCACCGGTGGCGTGCGACATTAGAGTCGATGAAAAGACGCGCGAGGTGGTGCCACGAATGTTTCCGCGAGGCCAGGTTGCAAGAGGCACGTACGCTCGCGTGGCAGCGCGGTGGCGAATGTTTGTCAACCGGACTTGTCGACATCACCAAGACCCCGTTGCTCTGGAGGTGCAGCTGCTCTCACGAGTGGTCTTCCACCTTGCTGCGTACGAGGCTCGGTGGTTGGTGTGCCCGCTGCTCTGACAGTGTTGGCGAGAGGGCGTCTCGACGTGTGCTCGAGTCTATACAGCTGCCTGCGGCAGGCCCCGCCACCGTGCCAGCGCAGCAGCGTAGTGTGAAGAAGGTCGAGTTGACTACCCACGCCAGCTCAGCGCGCGGTCTGAGCTCGCCTGGCTCTGACATTTGACCGCGGTCGCAAGGCGGTCTTAGAGCTTTCTTGGGCCGTCTTGGAGGTGGGCAGTCTTGGGACCACCTGGGGGCTCTCTTGGGACAGTCTTGGCCGTCTTGGGGGGCGTCTTGGGGATATGCAAAGTTTATTCGAGGCATCTGAAAGTCGACAGGCCTCTGGAACAACGCATATGTATCTTCCTTTAGTTGTTCAGCGTTCTTCTCCTCTGAGCGCCTGGCTGGATGCCTCTTCGGGCGTGCCTGGAAGGCTTGGTGGGGAATATCGGGGAGAACTCGTTGTGTTTGGGGGTTCGTTGGGCCGCCTTCGAGCGGCCTCAGGATGAATTTCAAGACCCACGCCAGTTCAGCGCGTGGTCTGAACTCGCCTGGGTCTTAAGCTCGACCCCGTTCGCTCGGGCGTGGAGCCTCCTTGGGCCGCCTTGGGGGGTTCTCGGGCAGTATTGATGCCATCTGGGGATATTTTTGCGGCAGTTTGGGGTCATCTTGGGGCTTTCTTGAGGCTCTCTGGAGCTTCCCCGAGGCGCTCTGAAGCCGAACGGCCTCGGGATCAAACAACGTTCATGTTTCCATTAGTTCCATTTTTGTTTCGTGTGACAGGCTCGCGCTGGAGGCGTCTGGGAGAGATTCCCTGAGGCTTTTGGGGGCCTGATAGGGCATCTCCGGGACTTCTGGAGCCTTTGGGGCTACGCGGGGAGCATTTGAATGGTCTCGCGGCTCTGGCACCCGATGCTGAGCCGCTTGGAAGCCAAAAGAAGGGTCGCAGGAAAGCAAATTCTGGGGGGGCGACGTTCGAAGGACGCTCACTCGTAGGGCGGGGGGGAACCGGCCCTAGAAGCATCACAGACAATGGAGGAGCATTATACATAACACGCCGCAGCGTGCGCAAGGCGCGGTGGTGGATTTTTGGCGGCCTTCGGTTTGCAAAGTGCCGCCCCGTGTTTCTGAAGGCTTATTTGGGACGCCGAGGCTTGGAGCTCGATGGCTACAATCCGGGGTTAAATCTGGGCTTTGAATACAATGGAGAACAGCACTACAACCCGAAGACGTTTTTCAACTCGGATCCGCGATCCATGGACAATTTCGAGGCCAGAGTCAGGCGCGACCGCGAGAAGGCCGCCATTTGCGAGGCGTTTGGAGTACGCCTTGTCGTCGTTCCATATTTTGTGAAGGACTACTGGGTCTGTGTCCGACTCCAGCTGCTCAGGTGGTTCAGAATTCGCGAGACGATGCCAGACCAGCTGGAAGCGTAGAGACCAGAGTTCACAGCTAATAACAACGTCCAGGACGATGAGTCCAGGACAACTATTTCGGCGCCTGCGATGTCAAGGGAAGAAATGTCTTTGACTGGCCCCTTGGACAAACCTAGCGGCTCAAGAGAACCCAGGGGAGTGCCCAGGTGGTACCAGAGGGTCCTGGACAATCACCTTGTTCTAGCATTGCTCACCAGGCCTCAAGAGGATGGATGAAACGCACGAGAAACCCCGAGATCTAACACGCCCCAGTCAGCCAAAAGTCGCCAGCGGCCTTTTGAACACCCCGAGCCCGGCCAAGAGAACCACGGAGAGCACCCATGGAACCTTGCAAGGCCTTGAATGGTTCTTTAATCACCTTGCGCCGAGATTGCTCAAGAGGCCTCACCAGGCTGGACGAACCCACAGAGCCTCAGAGCGCTCAGGACTGCCTCGGGAGGGCTTTCTCAGGCTTCCCCTGCCAGGCCGTCGCGGGGGCCTCGAGCTCCCCGGGGAGGCCCCTGGAGCTCCCGAGGCAACCCGAATATGCCCCACCGATCCCGGGTCCAGGATCGGCCTGCCCAGGGCAGGTGAGATGGTCATTGGACGGTGAGATGGTCAGCTGACGTCCCCCGATTCGAAGACCCCTTTGGCGCCCCTCCCCTTGGGGGGACCCCGAAGAGAGGCGCGAAGACGTCCACGAGTGAGCCGTCTGCCTGAGATGTCTCACACTTCTTTTTTACCAGCCGAGAGGAGCCCTGTGGCAAGAGAGGGCGAAACGACGACGAAGACGACACGACAGAGGCGCGCGGGGCAAGGGGGGGGAGGGGGGGGGAGGGGGGGAAGGCCCGCGGGGCGCGCGCGCGCCCGGCGCCGGCCCAGTGAAATGGCGATCGGGCCAATGAAATACGCCATGGTGCCCCCCGCTGTTGAGGCCCAGCTGCGGAGCTTACTAGCACGCGGTGGGCATGAGGTTCTGGAATATGACGTGTCTACGTTGTTTTGTTCGGAGAAGCCTCACCAATTCGGGCGCGAACGCTCTTGTGAAATGCCCCCTGGTGTCCCCCGTTGCGGAGGCCCGAGTGCGGTGCTTGTTAGCACGCGGTGGTCCCGAAGGCCTATTGAGATATGTCAACGTCCGCAAGCGGGCCTTTAGCTGAGAGGCCGCATCAATCTGAGCGCGAACGGGCTTGTGAAATGCCCCATGGCGTCCCCCCGCGTTGGGAGACCCCAGTGCGTGATATCATGTAGTGATCATGTTTGTAAAGGTGTCTACGTGAGCTTGAGTTCGTACGAGCATGTGTGTACGATAGTGTATGGGTGGTTGCAGTAAGGCTTCATGTGTGGCTGCAAGTTGGTATGAGTGACCCGTACTACGGACTACGGATATGGGGAACAGCTCCATGTCTTCATTCCCATTCTCCTCTCGAGGCAGCGCTTCTCTTTACAGGATTGCAGCATGTGGTATGTCCGAATGTCGCTTTGGAACGGAATGTTCGTGGTCCTTCAGAAATGGTGATTCCGTTGCAGCGTTGTCCGCATTTCAGGATCGGTGATTTGGTTCCGCCGTTCAGGCATGCGCCCTCGCCCTAGCGCGGGCCATAGTTCTGGATCTGACTCCTTCCTCGTCGTTGGCACCCCCCTCCTTTTCCCTCCGCCTTATCCTCCTGCTGCTGATGCTGTTGCTGCTGATCCTCCTCCTCATCTTCCTTCCTCCTTCCTCTCCTTTTCCTCCTGCTGATCCTCCTGCTTATAAGCCAGCTCTCCACCTTTCTGATTGCGCATGGCACGATGGGATCATTTGGGGGATTAGTGTCTGCGACACCCTGTGGATGCAAAAAATACACAATTGAGAAGGGATGGGTGGGAGGGGGGTAGGGGGTAGGACTCCAGTTATGGCGCCTGCCTTGTCTCCTCCACCCCATTTCCTCCTCCTCCTCCTCCTCCGCCGTATCCTCCCCCTCCAGGGGCACGAGGACGAGAATGACTACGACGAGTACAACGACGGACGGCGACGTCGACGATGAGGAGAACAACGACGATGGCGACGAAGACAAGAGCAACGACGACGACGGACCACCAAGGACGACGACACGGCGACGACAAGAACGACGGCGACGACCACGACGGCGAAGGCGACGGCAACGGCGACGGCGACGTCGACGGAGACGGCGACGGCGGCGGCGAAGGCGGCGGCGAAGGCGGCGAAGGCGGCGGCGGACGGCGGACAGCAGACGGGGGACGACGGACGGCGACGTCGGCTCACGACGTCGGTTGACGACGACGGCTGACGACGACGACGACGACGACGACGACGCCGACGCCGACGCCGACGCCGACGCCGACGCCGACGCCGACGCCGACCGCGACGCCGACGCCGACCGCGACGGCGACGGCGGCGGCGGCGATTGCGACGGCGGCGGCGGCGATTGCGACGGCGGCGGCGCTTGCGACGACCCCGGCGGTGGCTCGCCGACAGCAGCCCGCCCCGCCCTTCCCCGGCGCACGGCGCGCCCGAGAGGTCCGCTTGCCGGACCGCGCGCGTGCAGGACGCGGGGGCACCCCGCGGCGCACAGCGCTCCCCTCGATCCTCCTCCTCCTCCTCCTCCTCCTCCTCTCTCTCCTTCTCCCCTCCTCTCCCTCCTCCTCCTCCTCCCTCCCTCCTCCTCCTCCCTCCCTCCCTCCCTCCCTCCCTCCCCCTCCCTCCCTCCCTCCCCCTCCCCTCCTCCCTCCCTCCCTCCCTCCCCCTCCGCGTGCAGGAGGGGGCGGGAGGTCGGAGGTGGATAGACCTCCTACCCTGACACGTCGATTAGCGAATTGGCCGTTTTCGGTTCGCGAGGGGGCGTTGCGGCCGTCATTTCTGCGGGTCCAGGTCCGTCGGTTTCGGTCCCAGGCCGTTTTCACGAAGGGGAGGTTTACCAAAGGGAGGTTTGTCCACCGCCGAGAGGGGGCGGCGGCGAGAACGGAGGCGACGACGGACGACGACGACGACGACGACGACGACGACGACGACGACGACGACGACGGGCGAACGACGACCGACGACGACAAAGACAAAGAGAAAGAGAAGAAGAATGACGACAGGCGGGCGACGGGCGACGACGACGACGACGAGGACGACGACGATGACCGACGATCGACGGCCGACGGCCGACGGCCGACGACTGACGAACGACGAACTACGAAAGACGAACGAACGACGAGCGACGCCGACGGACGAAGATTGAAGACGGCGGACAACGGATGACGACAGACGACGGACGACGACGGCAGACGGGAGATGGCTGGCGGACGGTGGACGGCGGGCGGCGGGCGACGGCGACGGACGACGGACGACGACAGGCGACAACGGACGACGCCGGACGGCAGGCGACGCCGCACGGCGGGAGCGCGCGCGGGCGTCTTATTTCTGCCGCGCAGGACGTGGACCGGCAGCAGATAGGGAAGGCGGAGGAGGAGGTGGCGCAGCTCCGGGCGCTCGAGGAGCCGCGCGCTGTCGCGGGGCCTCAAGGGGGAAGGAGGGGAGGGAGGGAGTGAGGGAGAGGGAGGAGGGAGGGGGAGGTAGGAGGGAGGAGGGAGGGGGAGGAGGGAGCAAGAGGGAGGAGAGAGGGGAGGGAGGGAGGGAGGGAGGGAGGGAGGGAGGGCGGAGGAGGTCCCTTCCCTGCCGGTTTCACGACACGAGCTTGCCGTACGGCTGTGATTGCCGGTTTTTGCTCCGCAGTCCCACAGTTGTCAAGAGTTCGCCAACGCGTGCGAGTGTGTGCGCACCTTCTCGGCGACACTTCTGTCGACTCGCCGTTCGATCGTCGGCGGCCGTGGCCACCCGGAACCACACGGCAGTCCTCACGGGGTGGTCTGGTGGCCCCCCCGCTGGATTATTTCGGTCCCCTTGCGCTGGGAGCCCAGGCCGACTGACACCCGCGCCGACGTGGGCGCTGTTTCCAAGAGCTCGCGCCGAGGGGTCCCGACGACGCCGTCGGCAGGGGAGGCCCGGGCATGCAGGGGCGGCGCGGTGCCCCCCCCCCTACCCTGAAGTCGGGCATGTGTAGAAAAATAGTCTGGTGACGATTTTTCGTGCTCTCTTGAGTACTTGTGATTCTCCGTGAGGGCTTCGCCCCGTGCCGCCGGCCCCCTGTATCGGATAATGGGAGATGCAAAAGCTAAAAATCATGAGGTCTGGGCGCCGCCGTGAAGCAGTGTCGGGACCTGTTTGTTTTTCAACCCTGACCCCGCCGATCTGCGTCAGGGGTGCCACCGAATTTCAGAAATGCGGCACATCCCGTATGTTTTTGGACCCTGACCCCGCCGATTTGCGTAATGGTTGCCACCGAATTTCAGAAATGTGGCACATGCCTTATGTTTTTGGACCCTGACCCCGCCGATCTGCGTGATGGTTGCCACCGAATTTCAGAAATGTTGCAAATTTCTTACGCTTTTGGACCCTGACCCCGCCGATTTGCGTGAGGGGTGCCACCAAATTTCAGAAATGTGGCACATCCCCTGTGTTTTTGGACCCTGACCCCGCCGATCTGCCTGAGAGGTGCCACCAAATTTTAGAAATGTGGCAAATCCCATTTGTTTTCTGACCCTGACCCCGCCGATCTGAGTGAGGGGTGCGACTGAAGTTCAAAAATGTGGCAAATCCTTCGTTTTTTTGGTCCCTGACCCTGCGGATCTGCGTGAGGGGTGTCAGTTTCCCCCCCCCCAGAAATTCTGAGAACCCTCCCAGGGCGTGGTAGTTCTGCTGGTTTGGGCTCCCCCCCCCTCGCGCGTTCATCAACAAGGAGCAGCAATTTAGCATCAAGAAGCAGAACTGTAACAGGGGAAACTGGAAGCTGCAACTGGTACATGGAGCAGCACATTCCCGGCGTACAGCCTGGTGGCCCCGCAAGGGGGCCGGCGGATTGTGTTGACTATTTGAAACGCTTCCTCCAAAATCCGCCCGTAAGAAGACGTGCCCGACCTGACCCTGCCCACCCGCCCCGGCCCAGCTCCGGGCCCAGGAGCTGTCCGAGCTGCTGAAGGCCGGCTCCAGGGCCGACTGGGTGCACCTGCAGGCGAGCGAGCGCCGCCCCCCGCGCCGGCTCCCCCTCCTCACGCCGCCGCCCTCCAAGTTTGGCAGTGCCGCCCTCGCCCCCGAGGCGCTGCAGTCGGACCGAGGTATCGAGAAGATCGAGGTCGGTTCGGGGAGGGTACCCCCAGTGCTCTTCGCGCTTGTGGGGTGCTCTTGCGCATCCTGGGGAGGGGGTGCCCCAGGATGCTCTGCGTGTTTTGGCGGGCGGAGGGTCTCGGGTTCTTGAGGAATGGTCTTCTGTCCCTCCCCACCCACCTCACCTAGCCGCCCTGGCACGGCAACGGCTCCACTCCCCCGCCCGCCCCCGAGGCGCTACCCCCTCCCCACCCACCCACGGCACTGAGCGAGAAAAAGGACATCTGCACACGTGCGCCCTCCGCGCTCCAGCGTGCACGAGGGGCCGCGTGCGAGCTCAGACCGGGGGGAGCGTTCCGCGTACGTGTACATCTGCTATTGTCAGGAGGGGAGAAAACACACAGACACAATTCATCGGCGATTCCCAGAAAATATTTCGAAAATATGGGAAGTGGGGGGGAAGATAGAAACCCAGAAAATATGAGGAAATATGGGGAACCGATTTTTGTTTGTGGGTATTTACTTGTGTGTCCTGGGGCCCCGTCATGCTCACCGCGCCGCCCTGGCGCGGCCACGGCTCACTCCCCCCCCCCGGTGGCGGGCGCCCTGCCCGAGCCATGGGGGGGGCCGCGTGCGCTGCCCCCGGGCCCCAGGGCGGGGCCCGGCCGGGAGCGGTGGACGACCGCTTCGATCTCGCCGGCCGCCATGGGCTTCCGACTTCGCCTTCGGCTTGGGCGCCCAAGCGGCTGTTGGCAACAGCGAGCGAAGAACGGTATAAAATAAACTTTTTCGCTGTCGGGGGCGCCTGTCCCTGGGCGGCTGGAAAGTTTATACCTCTACGGTGCCACCGTAATGGTATATATAAACTTTCCAGCCGCCCTGGGACAGGCGCCCCCGACAGCGAAACAGTTTATGTTATACCGTCATTCGCCCGTTAAAGCAAGCGAAGAGCGCTGTAACATCACCCACCAAACCACCCCAACCCAACCCGAAGGCCTCGATTTGCCCTCCGTTTCCAGTTGGGGGGGGGGGTCGGGGAGCACTGACAAAAAACACGTATATGGAACCCGTGCCCCCCCCCAACCCGAAATTGGGGTCTTCGGGTTGGGTTGGGGTGGTCTTGTAGGTAGTCAGTGTAACATCAACTCTCTGAGCTGCTGTTTGTTCGCGGTTGCCCCGCGCGGACCGTATCCGTGCGGCCGCGCAGTTGCGGGGTCGCGCCCCGGAGTCCAGACCGCGAGGGCGTGGACACGTTGCGCCCCTCGTGTGGAGAGTCGGAAGGGGGCCAGTCGAGACAACTCTGCGGCCCTCGCTGGCAGGTTTCGTCCCTCCTGGGCATCCTGGGGGCTGTTCGTCGCCGCTGCCACATGCGCTTCGAAACACGGCTCAGCCTACACTCTAGGCGATGCTTAAGAAAGCTTACGTTTTGGGCCAGAATCTCGATTATTCTTAATGTTTCAATGTAAATCCCAAGATTTTGATAGAAATGTTGGGTTTTTATTCGAGTTCTGAGACTATGAGTTTCTTAACCCATGATTTCTTAAGCATTTCGCAGGGTGTAGACCTCCTGAGGGGTCCGAGGGTTCGATGTTAACCAGATTTGTGGCGGGTGCCTCCCCGGCCGCTGGGCCCTCCCAGCGGCGCCTCCGGCGCCGCCCCTGGCGCGCTCCGCGCGCCAGGGAGGGGGATCCAGCGCAGATCGAAGAGATCCTTTTCGGAGCGCCACAGGTGTAAGTTTATGCCGTTGTTTCTTCTTCTGGGGTCGCCGTTGTTTCCACTTGGCTCTCCTCCGAGAAAGGGCAAGCGGGCGGTAATTACGAAATCTGCAGCGTGCAGCTGGCTTCGGCTCAGCCGCTGGGCTGGTTCCTCTACGCTTTGGCGCCCGGAGGCGTCGGAGAACTCAGTTACGTGAGCTGATTCGTTACCCCCCCCTACTGACCCCCCCCCCTTGCGTCCGACCCGAAGACGGCTCGCCAGGCGCAAGAGAACAGCCGTGGTGGTCGTGGTCGGTTTTCTGTTGTGCTCGGCCCCTCGAGAGGGCCCCATCTCCCGCCCGCGGCACCGTCGAACATCAGGGAGGCCTAGGCTGCGGGTAGCAGAGCGTGCCAGAGCGCTCCTGGAGCGCTGGAGCGCCCCAGAGAGCGGCCGTGCTGCCCGATGCAGCCGCCAGACCCGCCGGCTCTCCGAGATTCCCAGTATCTTCTCATCCGAGCGTGTCCTCATCCTGACAAGGCGTCCCTTTGCAAGCACGTCGTTTTCGGCACCGCCTGATCCCGAGGCTTTGCCTCCTCCTGGCCTTGCCGTGAGGCCGCCCTCCTTCTGCTCCCCCCTCTTTGTTAATTCAAGCTTTGCGCGGCCCGCTTAGCTTCGACCGGAAGAGGTGCGCTCTCGACCCGCGAATCAAAAAAGAGTGTATCCTCATCCTGCTGCGGGATGGATCCGTGGGTCGATGTCTCCGTGGGCGGCCAACGTCAGCAGAAAATTGCCACATCGGACCAGCGGGAAGCTCGATGAGAGGGCAAATGAGCCAGACTAGACGACAGGCGGCCCGGATGAATAGGTCGACCCTGCCAATTCGAGGGTAGCCTCGTGCCCTGCGTCTTGCGGCCCATGCCTCCTGCAGTTCTGCGGCAACGTGGCCCTCGGAAGGGTCTTGTGTCCTCTCGCGTGCCCTCTCCAATGAAGTCCGACTATAGGCCAGAGGGCAGATGGTCGAGCGACAGGCAAAGGTCGGCCACGCGCAAAGAGGGGTAGGTGGAGGGGGGAAGGCTTCTTAGAAGCACCCCTGCTTCTTAGAAGGCGCTGGCCTTCTCTAGAGACGTAAGGCCGGGGCCTTCTAAGAAGCAGGGGTGTTTCTAAGAAGCCTTCCCCCCTCCTCCTACCCCCCTTTGCGCGCCGCTGAAAAGGGGGGGCCGTGAGCGTGGGGGGATCGAGGAGCGCCCGAGAGTGGCCCTTGGCTTCCTCGGAGCTGCAGCCGCGGGCCCACAAGGCGCACGCTTCTTCCCGCCCCCCCCCCCCCCCCCCTCTGCACTACCCCACGTAAACGAAGATCAGGAGGGAAAAAACACACGGACACAATGAATCGTCGATTCCCCAGAAAATATTGGAAAATATAAGAAAATATGGGAAGTGTGGGGGGGGAGAAAGAAACCCAGAAAATATCAGAAAATGGGTCCAGGGTTGGGTTTCTTGCGGGAGGTTTCTTTTGGACTCGCCTCCACTCTACTCACCCGCCCCGTCCGTTTCGGCCACCCCACCCGCCACGTCCCCCGCCTCCGTGGCTCCCAGGCGCGGAGAAAGCAGGGAGATCCCTGGACACGCCCGAGATCGAAGAAGGAAAAGTTGCATGGGCATAAACTTTCCAGAGGTCCGCGCGCATTTCTTGGGTCGGTGTTGGGCTCCCTCCCTGGCACGCGGCAGGGGCGGCGCCGGGGGCGCCACCAGGCGGGGTCCAGCGCGGAGCCAAGAAATCTTCGCCGACCTCCGAAAACTCTGCGTGGTTGCAAGTCGGGCCTGTCCCTCTTACAGCAGGAATATTCAAACATAGTAAAGAATATATAGTCTGGGGGGGCTATTTTTGAATATTTGTTGACCATGTTGGAGTATTGTTTGTGTATTTTTATTTTCCGTCGAAAATACCCCTGCAGGGGGACACGCCCGACTGAAACGTAGTGTCTCCCCCTGACGGTTCTTGCACTTCAAGAGTATCGCCTTCCTGCGTGCAGTACTCAGTCGGCCATTCCGGGTCTTCGCCACGCTGCCGCCCGTGCCGCTTTGCCTGGCATCGCTCGGACGTGTGCAGTTTTCTTTCGGCGAGGACCCTCGAGGAGCATCCCTGATCATCTGGCGAAGAGACCACGCACGAAACCGACAAAAAGCGCAGGGAATGGACGTCCGAGCGATGGCGACTTTGGGGGCGCCCGTGGGCGCTCCCTGCGCCGGAGGCGCCTGCCGCGGTTGGCGCCGCGCTGCCGCCCCGTGCCGCCTCGGAGGGCGCGCGCGGGCGCCCCGGAGGGCGTCTGCCGAGGCTGCGCGGCGGTGCCGCCCCGCGGGCGCTCGCGGGCGCCCCGTGCGCCGAGTCTGCACCACGCAGCTTGCACACTACAACAAAGGATTGCAAAAAAAACCTTCTTCTACGAAGGATTGCAACAACAAAAAAAAAAAAACGAAGGATTGCAAAAAAAAACCTTGTTTCGAAGGATTGCAAAAAAAACAAAGGATTGCAAAAAAACGAAGGGTTGCAAAAAAACGAAGGTTTTGTTTGCATTTTTTTGTTTGCAATCCTTCTCACATGGCCCAGCGTACGCCACACAGCTTGCGCCCGCCTAGCTTACGCTTGGCGCCGCTCGGACATGTGCATTGTTCTTCTGGCGAGGACCACCGAGGAGCATCCTGGATTAAGTCAGCGAAGAAACCACGCACGAAACCGGAAAAAAACACAGGGAATGGACGTCCGAGCGATGGCCAGTACAGCACTTGATTTACACCGCACAGCTTCGGACGCAAAGTGTTCACGTCCAGCTCACACCACAGACCTTACGCTACACACATTGCACAACGTAGCTTACACCGCTCAACGTTCACCTCCAGAACTCACATCGCCCAGCTTGCACCACATAGCTTCCGCCACATAGCTGCCGCCTCCACAGTGCAATAACGCACTGATTCGGTTCCACGCTGCCTAACACTAATCTTATGCGAGACCACCCTGGGAACCCCTAGAAGCCTTCTCTCCCTCCACTCTCTCTCTCCGACCTCGGGGCCACTGCGGCCCCTTAGGGAAGTCGGCTCCCACGACGGTTCCAGCAGGAATTCGGGGGGGAGTCCAAATCGGCGGAGGAGGTTGCCGAGCCTGGACCATGGGCGCCAGCAGCCCGAGGCGGTTCGCGTCTTCAGACTCTTCCCCGTCGTGGGTTGCCTTCCGAAGTGGAAGGGGAGCAAAAAGATGGAGAGAGGGACGGACGGAGGAGGAGAGGGGAGGGAGCAGCAGGGAGGCAGGAGGAGGAGGGAGGAGGGCGGAGGGAGGAGGACGTCGTCGGCTGACCCCACTTCGAGCGCACCAAGAGGTACATACAAGTGCACATCCTCCCCCCGCCCACTGCCTCCTCCTCGTCCGCCTCCTCCCGGTCCTGCTGCCGTTTCTCCTGCTGCTCCTCCGCGGCCTCGCCCACCCCCCCCGGGCCGAGCGCTCCGCGGCGGCCCCCAGGAGGCCTGCCTCAAGTGCCAGAACAAGGGGGTCTGCGGCCCGGAGCTCGAGGCCCCAGCAGCGGCGAGGGCGAGGGCTACCCATCGCCACACAAAAGGCGGGTCCGGAGGTTTTCGGCTGCTCTCGGGCTCCCAGGGCCTCGCACGGGCCCCGGGGCTGTCAGAAAGCGACGCAGGACGAGCAGCTGGCCCTGGGGGAAGGCCCCGAGATCCAGGACCCGTTTCTCTCAGGACCCGCCTAACTCATGCCGAAGTTCCCAGGCCCCTCGTCACTCACCCTCCCCCCTCACCCTCGCCGTCCTTTCTCGCTCTCCATTCCCCCCCCCCAGCGGGTGAGGGGAGGAGGGAGGGGGGAAGGGAAGGGAGGGCGGAGGGAGAGAGTAAGGGAGGGAGAAGAGAAGAAGGAAGGAAGGAAGGAAGGAAGGAAAGAGAGGAAGGCAGGACGGAAGGAAGGAGGAGGAGGAGGAGGACCAGTGTAAACCCAAGAGTCATCAACGATGTTGGAATAAACCCTCCTTCCAAGCTCCCTCTTCATACGCCCCTCCAAGGGTTCATTTCCACTGAGGGAACTGCCTCGTTGGAAGACAACCGTTTGAAGACCTTGGTGCATGCCAAAACATCGTTCTCGGGATTCCAACAACGCCACGGATCAACCTGACTGTTGCGCCTTGACGATCCTGAATCGTGCCAGAACGCTATTCTTGGGACTTCAACACCTCGGATCAACGTAACTGTTGCACCCTCATAATCCTGAATCCTTCCAAACACCATTACTGGTACGTTGATCATGGGGATCCGTGGAACCCTTGTCATTGTTTCAAAGAAACCAAATATATGCGGCGCTGAGGCGAGAGCCACATTCAGTCCGTGAAACTCTTGCGAATTGTTAATGTGCGCGGCGCTAAGGCGAGAGCCACATTTTGAAAAGGATGGGCGCGGCGATAAGGCGATAAGCGATAACCCCATATTGGAAAGGAACCGCCCTCAACCCGTGAAACTCTTGCAAATGTTTGAGATGAATGTGCGCGGCGCGAAGGCGAGAGTCACATTTTGCAAATCAACCGCCCTCCATCTGTGAAACTGTTGTCGATGTTTAAACTTCAGGGTCACAAGTGGTGAGGGAGTCTCAGGCGAAACGCCCGGACCGCCCTGAAAACTGGCCTCGGGGTGCGATGGGGAGAAGTTACGTAGAAGGAAAAAGAATGGAGGAGGAGACGGAAGAGCGGAGCGAGCTCGAGGAGGAAGCATCCCACATCGGTGTAGCTTTGGGGATGCTGAGCTCTGGCACGGTGCAGCGCGAGGACGCACCTGGCGAGAGCGCGTTTTGCCCGACCAGGCATCGCACCTCCGGCCGTGCAGCTGCCACGGGTGCCAGCGCTCTGTCCTTCGGCGCGAACGAAATGGGTACGGAAAGAATGGGTACGAAATGGCTGCTGCTGCTCCTCCTCCTCCTCCTCCTCCTCCTCCCTCCTCCTCCTCCTCCTCCTCCTCCTCCTCCTCCTCCTCCTCCTCCTCCTCCTCAATTACTCAATATGAAAATACTCTCCCTCTTTCCCTGATGGCGTCCGGGTGATGGCCGCGCACCCTCCGCGTACTGTTTTTTTACACAGGATTCCCGGGAAATCCCGGGAAACGACTCTCGCTGAGGCGCCGGCGTCATTTTTTCCCAAAATGCTGCTCTCGTTGAGGCGCCGGCCTCATTTCTGCTCCCGAATCGTTCCGAATCGTGCTCCCGCTGCAGCGTGGGCCTCATTTTCGGATCGGTGTTTGGCCTCCGTCGTTCAGGATGGCGTTCTCGCCCCAGCGCGGGCCTTTTTCTCGCGCGCCCATCCGCCCGCCACCACCGCGCCGCACCGCCACCACCACCACCACCACCACCACCACAACCACCACCAGCACCAGCACCAGTACCAACACCACCACCACCAGCACCACCACCACCACCCACCCACCCACCATCACCACCACCACCACCACCACCACCACCACCACCACCACCACCACCACCACGACAACCACGCACACACGCACGCACGCACGCACGTGCACCACCACCCACTACGCACGCGCGCGCGGAGCCACAGGTCCGCTACGACACGCGTCCGCGGATAGAGAAAATCAGCGCCATGGTAAGGGATGGGAGGGAGGGGTAGGACGTCAGATATGACGCGAGCGCACCTAGCTTGTCATCCTCCTCCTCCTCCTCCTCCTCCTCCTCCTCCTCCTCCCCCACCCCTCCCCCTCCTCCTCCTCCTTCTCCTCCTCCTCTTCCTCCTCCTCCTCCTCCTCAGTTCCTGTTCATTTTGAACAGGACTCGCTGTCCGCGCCGCCGCGGCCTGTGTCCATTTGAGACAGAAGGCCCCTGCCCAACAGCGGCCGCTGTTGGTTTGGGACAACCTTTGTTGTTGGGCAGTGTGCCCATCTTTTCCGTACCCATTTCGGGCGTCCAAAGCAGTTATAGGTTTGGGCTTGCCGAAGTTTCAGCGCCAGAGCTCGGATTCGACGAGGAATCCGCCTCCACCAGCGAAACGACGGTGCGCCGAGCAGTGGGCAGCGCGGGATTTGCCTGCAAGGTGGGTGGGCGCGGGTGATCCCGGTAGACCCGCCAGCGCGAGGCATTCGGGGCGCTCGTGAGGGGGGGCATCAGGGGCAACGTCGGGAGGGGGGGGGGAATTGCCCAAGAGGAGGTCAGAGGGAACGAGCGGACGAGTTGGGGGAGGAGGAATCTGAGGAGGAGGAGGAGGAGCAGGGGCACTGGGAACTAGGGAACTAGGGAACAAGGGAAGGGGGGGGGGGCAGAGAACGAGGCAACTAGGGACGGAGGAGCAGGTCAGGGGCAGCGCCATGGGGAGACCGGCTACGGGGTGGACGCATCGACCCGCCCACTCGCCCATTCGTCGCCGATCGGGGCCGGATAGCCCACCCCGCCCAGGAAGGTGCGCCTCCTCCTCCTCCGCCGTCCTCCTCCTCCTCCCTCCCATCCTTCCTATCCTTCCTATCCTCCTCCTCCTCCTCCTCCTCCTCCTCCTCCTCCTCCTCCTCCTCCTCCTCGTCGTCCTCCCTTCCCCTCCCTCCGCTGACCCGGGTTTGGGAGCGGCTGCGCGGCTGGCCTGGCCTGGCGACAGGGCCCTGCGCAGGCGACCAGGGCTCATTCGTGCTGGCACGGGTTGGCGCGTCCCCGAGGCAGGCTCGGGCGGGCGGCGGGCGGGCGGCAGCCCGGGAGCGCCCAACGTGGGGGGAGTTGGGGGGGGGGGGGGGGGCAAAGCGCACCTTTCCGGGCACCTCCTGCCTTCGCGGTGGTGGCAGCGTGGTGGCAGTGGCAATTTGCTGCAACCCTCGATCGCCCCCTCTTTATCGAAGGGAAAAATAACGGACCCGATAAGTGGCGTTAATTGAACGGCCCTGGGCGTTTACTAAGCAGCCCTACCCTGTTCGATTATTTTTTGGGTGCGTTTAATCAACGGCTTCTCTTGTTGGGGTGGTTATTATGGGGGTGGTTATTGTTGCCCTCTGTCTCATTTCAGGGGAGGGAAAGAGCCCCTATATCCTGAACTGGCGTTTACCAGACGTTCCTGGCCAGTGATATACGAAGGAGCCCTGTCTCGCTCGATCCCTCCCCGGAGCGCGTTCAACTACGAGGTTCCGGTTATAGGGCTGCTCATTATCAGGGTGTGGCTCAGTTGCCCAAGAAGAGGAGGTCAGAGGGAACGAGGGAACGAGGAGGAGGAGGAGGAGGAGGAGGAGGAGGAGGAGGAGGGGGAAGAGGAGGTGAGATGAGATGAGCAAGCGGCCTGAAGCAAGTTGTTCGGGCGCCTAGCGCCCGTCGCTGGAGGCCTCAAGAGGCCTCCTCGACTTCAAAATCGTGGGCCCCTTCGGGCCCACTGTCTGCATCTTTGCGCAGGAGTCTGGCCCCCTCAGCACGCGTGGAAGAGGAGGAGGAGGGGCACTGGGAACTTGGGAACGAGGGAAGGGTGAGGGGGAGAGAATGATGCAGCCTACGGAAGTGGGAGCAGGGAGTGGCTCTGTTGCCCTCTATGTTTGTCTCCCCGTTAACATCCAGATGCTGGTCCAGGTGGCGCCCGCCTTCATTCGAGGGGCCTGGACATCCAAAGTCGTGATTTTTGTACAACGTGGCCCCCCAGAGGTCTGGACCCCTTCCTGGAGGCCGGCTTTCCGTCCCGAGTCTTGCTTTGACGACCCCTGGGCCCAGGCAATGGCCCCCCGATGTTGAAGACAGCAAGACGTTGTCAGTCATGACTTTGATTCACGGCGCCTGGGAAACCATCGATGGATCTTGAGGCCTCTTGGAGACATCTCGGAGCTTGCGGGGAGTCGTTTGGCCGTTTCCTTGGCATCGCTCGGACGTGTGCATTTTTTGTCCGGCGAGGACCTTCGAGGAGCATCCTCGACCATTTGGTGAAAAAACACGCACGAAACCGAAAAAAGCACAGGGAATGGACGTCCGAGCGATGGCCAGTCTCTGGTTGACGACAGTCATGCTAACACGCCCCAACGTGTCGCAGGCACCCTGGCGGATTCACGACCGAGGACACTCCCGCTCAGGGCTTGCGGCACGGAGGCGACTCAATAAGTAGTACGGAAATTGCCGGCGAGAATAGTATTTGTCTCACCTGCAGTCGGCCCGGATTAGTAGGTCGACCCTGCCAAATCAAGGGTACTCTTGTGTCCTGTGCCTCGCGACCCATGCCTCCGACATGCCTATGGCAATGTGGCCCTCGGAAGAGTCTTGTGTCCTCTCGCGTGCCCTGTCCAACCAAGTCCGATTGTACCACGAGCAGCAGCATTGGTTCAGACGTGACCCATAGTGTGTGAGTTGGCGCGAGAGACCTGTCGGCGCTGGGCTGCCCTGGGCACGCACCCAACTTGGCTCTTAGTTGCTGGCTATCGTCCCTACCTCCCCCGCTTCATCCTGCAAGGCTTCGGTGTTTGTACGGGCGTCTCTTCTCTCGCGCGCGGGATGGAGGGGGCGGCACGGGCAGCAGCAGCAGATCAAGGTGAGTATGGAGTGGTGTTTGCACATTCAACCTCAGACCACACGTGGTATTGCAGCATGTGCGCGAGGCCGCATGGCACGAAGTGGAGCGGCGCAAAGCGGATGCGGAGCCGCGGCCAGCTTGAGCTGTCTACGAAGGGCTAAGCAGAGGAAATTGATAGGGGACAAGGAGAGGAGCCGACGGGGAGGATGGGGACGAAGAGGGGAATAGGACGGAGACATGGACACGAACTGGCAAACGAAATTGAGAGGAGGATGATCAAGAGAAGGACGGGAAGGCATTCGAGAAGGAGAAGGAGGGCGAAGGAGAATGTCGGGAAAGAAGCAGGGGAGGAGGATAAGGAAAATGAGGAGGACGAATTGAAGTGGGCCAGGGAAATGTGATGACAGCGGCCATCGAGCATAGGAAGAGGAGGAGCCAGAGGAACAAAAGGATGAGGAGATGGATGCCAGTTAACAGTCACAACCAGCTTGAAGGTGTTCCCACCATGATGTTTGCCATGAGGGCGTAAGGATGACCTTCAGGGCTGTTCGAGATCACAGCAGATGTTCGACTCGTTGCATGCCCATGTCCTTGCGGAGCCTCTCATGGAGGAGATAGAGAAGGAGGAGGAGGAGGACGAGGACGAGGAGGAGGAGGAGGAGGAAGAGGAGGAGATGCAGGGGGGCGGATTCAAAAGGGCGTGGACGACCGGCTTGCTCTCAAGGAGCCCGCCGGTAATTGGGAGTGCATTAGTAATTGCATACTTGCATCATTGCATCGGCTCTCTCACATCTAGTCATCGTCAGCAGCTCCTCGAGCCATTCGAGCCCTAATCGCACAGCGTCTGCGACAAACTACGAAGGTCACAGTGAGGTCCCACAGGACGGTGACGGGACAAAATCGGAGGTGCAATTAGGGGAAAAGGAGGAGGAGGAAAAGGAGGAGGAGTTGGCGTATGTTTCCCATCGATTGCTCGACACACGTTGCTGTTTTGCCTTTGCCATCTGGATTAATTTGTGCTCGCAATGCGCTCGCATTCAGCGTTGTTCACACGTTGATTATTGTCAATGCACTGCGGTGGCAAACAGCGTGTCGCCCCTCACCATACGTTGGCACTATAAAGTTCCATGTATCCTGATAGCAATCAGCGTGTCGTGTTCGCTCGTCGCATGTCGGCCAGGATTCGCATTGTTGTCCTTGAATGCTCGCGCAGAGCAAGAAGAGGCAAGCGACCCCAGAAGGAGGAGGAGAGGACGGAGGTGCACGAATCCCCCACTCGCACCGCGCGTGCGCGCGCCATAATTGCGCGTCTCGCGCGCACGAAGGACCCGCAAGCGTGCGAGAGCAACAAAGGGGAGAACGAGGATGAGAATGAGGAGGAGGAGGAGGAGCTGGAGGAAGGGGAGGAGGAGGAGGAGGAGAAGGAGGAGCCGCCCGTTCCCCTCCTCCGTGGGTGACGCGCCCTCGCTTCCCGAGGAACTCCAGGAGGCGCTGCTCAGCAACGATCCTGACAAGCCAGCCCAGGGGGGAGGGGTCGAGCGGCACGAGGTCGCGGGACAGCCCGACTTCTGCAGCACACGAGAGTAGATACCTGTTTCTCCCCTCATCCACGCCCTCGTCTCTTAAATCCTAGTCTCTCATCGTCTCCTCCCTCGCGTGCCACGTCTTGTCTTATCTTGCGCCCAGATCATAGCCACTCCTTGGTGTTGACTTATACGGTTTCATCTCTCGTCGTTGCTCTCTCATCTACCGTCGTCCATCAGACCTTCCCCTTGCTCATGTATGTTGGTTTCATCGTCTCTGTTCGTGTGTCTACCTCCTCTCTTCATGTGCTTGCCAGCCTCCCCCATCCCGCTATCACCCTTCACCAACATAACCACCATCATTGAAGAGCGTGCTGTGTATCATCTTCTCGTCCTGCATGAACTATCAGATGGTCGCTATCCCCTACCGCCCGTCATAGGTCAACAATTACCATCGCATATGCATCATCCGAGTACATGCGTAGATCAACAAATCTAACCATTGAGGTTGTAATCTACGTGGAGCAACTCATGTGGTGCAGCCCATGTGGTGCAATCGAATGCAGACTCGTGAGTTGCCAACCCTACGGCCCGCGCAATCACCCCACCCATCCACCAGCAACTTGGTTTGCAAAACCCATGCGGCGGCGATTGACGTGTCTACTCGGCGCTGGCTGGCGTATCGCTGCGGCAACGCTAGCGCGCGCAGGCTCGCGCGCAGAGGGGCCAGCCAGTCCGGCGCGGCCGACGCGGCCGCGGTGGCGCTGGCCGCTTGGGACTTCCCAGCGCGTCTCGCAGGCCGCGCGGACGCGCAGACACGTCAGTGCGAGTCGGTGACTCGCGCGGGCGCAGTTCCATGGCCACGTCGACAACGGCAGACACGACGAGACAGTCGCGATGTTTGCTTCGATGATGACGGCGACGACGGCGAGGCCAATGAAGGCGCTGATGTTGATCACGCCGATGACGATGATGGCGTCCACGCGTCGGCGATGAAGGTTATGGAAGGATTTCGACATGCGCGCGGCCGGCGGGTGCGAGGTGCCCGCATTGTATTATTCGACAGGGATCGTGCCTCCCTCCCCCCCCCCAGCAACCGCGAAAGGTCGTTCGAATAATTGCAGCATGCGCGCGCGAGGGGCCCGCTTGGTCGCAACACATCAGCGTTACAAAGGTTTCGTCATGAATTGGGATCATCTTGCGTTAACAGGGCAGGATCCCGCCCGGTGGAATGTCTGAAACCGTGTGTTCTTCACGCTAGGAGCTTAACTTACATTTTTGAAACGTATGCACTATTATATAACTGGAGGAAATCCTTGATGTAGAAATCCCGGATTCTTGATCCGACCGTTTTTGACCCAGCCCGCCAGGGTTCTTAAGGGGAGGGAAGGGGGCAGCGTTTGGCGCGGTCTGGACATGTGTCAGCCTTCGCCCGCCCACTCGCGCGGAAGACGGACGCAACATGCATCGTCTTGATGCCCCCCATAACACACGACGAACTCCTTGTAACGGCGTAGTAAGTGAAATGTTGAAGCACGTGGCTTGCGTAAAAGGTCGCGCGCGGGCATCAAACAGAAACGATGTTGGAATCAAACCATGTCTTTTTCAATAATACATATATATATATATATGTATATATACATGTATAAATATTTAAATATTTTTTCTTTAAAAAAATAAAGAAACTATGTGTGGGAACCTCGATATTGGAAACCGCACGCAATCCAAGGTGTTGACGGAGTGCGGCATGCGCGCGAGTTGATAATGTTCAATTTGATTCGAGGGGGATAGTTGGAAAGTGGTACATGTTTATATACAAACGGGTGCGCGCGCACAGTCTCACTGAACAGGGATGAGGGTTGGTTGTACTTGCCGCGCTGGGATGGTCTGATGTCGCATCTGGGATCAACCATGAGGAAGCATCATATGTCAATCGTTCTATCCCAAGGAGGGTCGATATAGCCGGGGGGAGATCCATATTTTGTCTCAGGAAGTAGAGTCCACGTGGCGGCTACAAGGCCGAGACGGGCCAGCGACGGCGACGACGTAGCCGCCAGACCGACCATCAGGCTCAGACGGCGGCGACGAGGCGGCGAGGGGGCGGCGGCGGCGACAACATAGCCGCCAGACCGACCGTCACGCCCAATTTGTTCGACCCTGTCGCGCCCGAGTTGTTGCTCCCCCCCTCTCTACCATCCTTCCACTCATGGTCATGTCATGTCATCGCTTTATTCCTCTTGGAGCTGTCATCTGTTGTAGATCCTCTGTCCCACAATTCTCCATCATATACCCTCCCTCATTTCACGCATGTTGCTTAGACTCTACTCGCGTATAAAATTACCACGTCGCATCCTCTTTTTCGCTTCTCCTTCCCATCTTAATACAAGTATCATCCTCATCACCTTGCTGGACGATCCTCTTCTCTATTCCTCTTCTTCATGTTCTCCCCCTCCTCTGAAGCTGGTCCTTGCGAAGGGGTCCAGACCTTTTGGGACTCCACCTTATGAAAAACATCGGATGTCTGGGAAGCCAGGAAGGCGTAATTCACCTGCCAAGCCAGTGTCAATGAGGTGGATAGTTGACGTTCACCAAATCTTCAAACAATGTTCCAGACCAGCACGGTCTTGAGGGCATCCCATGGCGTGACAGAGTTTCGGTGACGGTACCGGGTGTTCGAACCAGAGTCGGTGACAGACATGAGCGAACGAGTCGGTACGAACCGAGGTCGAGCTTTCGAGGGCATGCAAGATGAGAACGAGGATATCGAGTTGGGAGACCGAGTAGCTGAACAGGGGAGACAGTGCAGGATGGCTGTGGACAGGGAAAGCGGGCGGAGCAGAGAGCAAAGGGACACGGCCTCTTGTCAGGATCGACAAGGCGTGCAACCGCTTAGAAAGCTTGGGCCTCGCCACGGAAGCCGTTATCCAGGACGTACAGAGTCATTTTGTATGCTTGTCGTTCTTTTGCACGTGTGGCAGTCATTTATGTTGTTCGGCGCCGGTGCGGGCGCGGGTGTTCGTGCCCGTGCGGGTATATGTGCCGAGAGTCGTTATGGTACCCGGCACTGGTGCCGGTGGCGGTACCCGGTGCCAAACGCGCTGGCAGTGCTCGGTGTTGATGCCAGTGTTGGTGTCGGTGCCGGGGCAGTGGGACCACATTTGTTAATGGACATGGTCACTCTTCTTTTCGTCCCTACGTCTCGGGTCGGACTGGACGCGGAGTAGGGAAAGGGGAGGTACGAGAATTGTTGCAGACAGACGCCTTCGGCCCCGCCGTTGGGCGAATTTATGGATCCATGGCCGCCTCCAGCCCCAGGAAAAGCAGCTACGCGAGTTGGTCGACCCCAATCTCGGGCATTCCAACTTGTAGCTTGCCTTGGGCGGCTCTTCTCCTTCCCAGTTTTGTGACCAGTTGCGAACCCTACCCTTGCAATTTCAATCGACGCTGAGGTTTCGGATACCCACGCTGGGTTATTCTGGCTGCAGTCATCCTTCGGAGAATCATCATTAGTAACTGGCCACAGCGGCCGTGTCTCAGCATCGTCAGACCTACCCCCATCCCCAGTGGACCAACGCTCCGTAGCGCCGCCGGACTGCTCCCTCGAGGTGGGGATTGCCGCCGCAAATCCAGACGGAGGCGGCATCGATCTCCACCTGAACGTGCATGTGGAACAGCGGGTCAAGGCTTTCCCTGCAAGGATGGGGATCGGTCCACCGATGCTGAGTTTCAGCAGAACAGCGGGTCAAGGCTCTCCCTGCAGGGATGGGGATCGGTCCACCGATGCTGAGTTTCAGCAGAACAGCGGGTCAAGGCTTTTTTCCTGCGGGGATGGGGATCGGTCCACCGATGCTGAGTTTCAGCAACTTGGCCTGCAGAGGTAGGGCCCACATGTGGTTGCCTACAGTCGGGTTTGATTTCAGTAGGTCGATCATGCAGATGGTGCCCGTCCGAGACATCCAGATTCGTCATTGTGTCACAACGTGGCTCCCGAGAAGTCTGGACCACGTCTCGGGCACTCGCTTTCCATCCCGAGTCGTTCTTTGGACAGCCGTGGGGCCCCGCAAGGACCCTCGGAGGCCAAACATTGCCTCCCAAGATGCGGTGGAGACCCATGCCAAAAAACACCCTGCTTGCCTAAAGGGTGCCTTGGGTTTCTTGGTTTTCGATGGTTTTGCGATGGAGAGCGTGACGTTCCCGCTCCCAAAACCACTGGACGTCCTGGGGTCTCAGGGTTGGATTTCTTGTGAAAGGTTTCCAGTGGTCGAGCGCCCTATTGTAAAGCAAGAATCCTTCGTGACTTCTGCACGGCGCGAAGATCCCAGCGTGCCCTCGGGAGAGTGGCTGTGCCCCCCTGACACCCTCGCGTCGCGGAACACTCAAAACGGCGGAAGGCGTTCGGCAGTTCTCGGCCACCCGAGGCAACCAATCACGGCGGAAGGTCTTCGGCAGTTTTCGGCCAATCGCCGAGGCCTTTGCCCGGCCCACTGGACCGTCCGAGAGCGTCGGGAGCCTTGAGACGGGGTTCAAAGCAGACGGGGTCAGCCAGGGCGCCGGATCTTGCAGGATCCTGCAGGGCCAGGGGCGCACTGAGCCAGTTCTGGGCGCAGGGCCCCGCAGGATCCTGCGGGGCCCTGCAGGAGCCTGCAGGGCCGGACGGGCCGGGGCCTGGATGGACCCCGCCAGGGCGGAAGCTCCCCGAGGAGCGACTCGGGAGGAGAAGCAAGTGCCCGGGAAAGGTGCCCAGACGTCTGCGGGAGAGCCACGCGGCGTGAGGGGAAGAGAGCGCGGCGTGTCGGAGGTCTGGGCAGGCAGGCGGCTCGCGGCCTCTGCCCCTCGCCCCGGGCGGCGCCGCCGCTCCTGTTTGGGCGGGCGGCACGCCGTCGCCGCCCCATCGCCGCTCGGGGAGGAGGGAGGGAGGGGAGAGGAGGAATACGTAGGGAGGGCGAGAAAGGGAGGAGGACGGAGGACGAGGACGAGGAGGAGGGAGGGAGGAGGACGACGATGAGACGAGGAGGAGGAGGAGGAAGGAGTAGGGGCAGGAGGGGGGAAGGGAATGGAAGGATGAGGAATAGGGAGGAGGAGGAGGAGGAGGAGGAGGAGGAGGAGGAGGAGGAGGAGGAGGAGGAAGAGGAGGAGGAAGAAGAAGGACCAGCACGCAGGTGGGTGATGAGCTCGATGAATCCGCCGCGGTCCCACCGCAACAGCTGGAGGGCGTTATGCATCCCTATGTTCCTCTGCTCTTTCGCACGCTTCTCGCACAGAGCAAGACTACTGGGCCCGACTTCGAGCCTTCAGGGTGTCGGCCTTCCATGGCACGGGCTAGCGGCGCCGTTGTGCGGAAGGTGACGTTAATACGAATACTGAACAGGCCTCTGTTGCCACTCTTTTCGGATGAGCCGCACCGATGGCAAACCGAGGAGCTGGTGGGTTGCCCGAAGGGCTCGTAGTAAGAGAATGTGTCCCTCGGGGTCCGCCACAAAGTCCGAGAGGTGCTTGCACCGCCGTAAGCAGCGCTTGGTCAGCGTAGCCACACCCACTGCTCATTGTTGCGCATGCGGGTGCTGCAGACGACGTAGCGGCCTGGCCCTTTTTGAAGATCACGACACCATGAGCACGGCCTCGGGTCCGCAAGGAGCCTTAAGGGGAGGAGGAGGGGACGGGTCAGATCCCACTGCTGTGAGTGTTGGGAGGCATGGGCGGTGGTGCCGAAAGTAAGGCAGGACGTGTCACGGCGCGGGGCGATGGCAGGCCACTCGCCAGTGGCCGTCGACGCATGCCGAAGATACTCCCTCGAAAGCTTGGCGCATTCTTGGCGGCACTCGAGCCGAGCAACGCTGGGCTGCGTTCTGGAGAAGGCGATGGCTTTCGCAGCGCCGTGCGCGACAGGCGGCATCGCTACCTTCGGAGGATGAGGAAGAAGGATGGGGACGGCGACGACGAGGAGGAAGAGGAGGGGGAGGAGGAGGAGGAGAACAAAAAAAAGGAGGGCTACGACCTCTCCCCTCGCACTCCCTGCCCCCCCCCTTTCCCTCTGACTTCCACCTCCCCTCTCCCTATCCGATCTGCCTGGCCCCCGATTCCTGCAGGACGCGGCCCGATCCGGGTCGCGCACTCCGATCCGACCCGAGCTCTCGCTTCGACGCGGCCAGATCTTGCCTCAGCCTTGGCATCGCTCGGACGTGTGCATTTTTCCTTCGGCGAGGACCATCGAGGAGCATCCTTGATCATCTGGCGAAAAGACCACGCACGAAACCGAAAAAAACAGGGAATGGACGTCCGAGCGATGGCGAGCAGCGTGCCGTGGGCACGGCGGCGGACCTGCAACCGGGTGCCTGCGCGCTGGTCCGTGGTCGCTGTGAGGAGGAGGAGGAGGAGGAGGAGGAGGAGGAGGAGGAGGAGGAGGAGGGGAGGAGGAGGAGGGGAGGAGGGAGGAGGAGGAGGAGGAGGAGGAGGAGGAGGAGGAGGAGGAGGAGGAGGAGGAGGAGAGGAGGGGAGGAGGCGGAGGAGGAGGAGGAGGAGGAGGAGGAGGAGGAGGAGGAGGAGGAGGAGGAGGAGGAGGAGGGGGAAGGGGAGGAGGGGGAGGGGGAGGAGGAGGAGGAGGAGGAGGAGGAGGAGGAGGAGGAGGAGGAGGAGGAGGAGGAGGACAGCCCCCCACCCTCTCGGGGCGGCCCGGGGGGCAGAGCCAGACGTCCGCAGGGGGCGGGGCCGCGGAGCTGCGCCGGGCCAGCTTGCGGGGCGGGGGCGGGACGTCACGGGAGGAAAAAACCCACCCGGACCCGGTAATTGGCGCTTGCTGAACGGCCTTGGGCGGTCACGTACGTACTGGCAACCTTCACGCCAACATGATTGCCGTCATGCATGCATACGCTCGTGATATGGCGGGGTGGTCCCGGAATACGAAGGCGCCGAGTGCGGAGAGGGAGGCGGCAACAACAAAGTCGCGAACCAAGCAGGATCTAGCTTTATAAACTTACTTTAGTAGTGGAAACAATTGGTTTTCAAAATGTCTGGTCTTTAGAAGCTCTGCGTGGCGACGCCCTCGCCGCCACGCGTGCCCTCTGCGTGCCTGCGGGGGCGCCGCCACGTAGAAGTACTGGAGACCGAGCATTTGGGGCGTCGCTACGCGCGCCCTCTGCGTGGCTGCGACCATTTGTTAAAACCCTAAAACCAATTAAATTCGCTAAGAAAGTAATTGGCGCTTGCTGAACGGCCTGGGGCGTTCACTGCACAGCCCTACCCTGTTCGATTCCTTCTTCGGGTGCGTTTGCTGAACGGCCTCGCTTGTCGGGGTGGTGAATACTCAGGAAGGGAAAAAACACACAGACACAATTAATCCTCGATTCCCAGGAAAATATGGAAAGTGGGGGGGATGACAAAAACCAAGAAAATATGGGAAACTATGGGGAATATTTCTATTTGTGTGTATTTATTTGTGTGTCCTGGGGCCCCTTTAAATATGGGGGCGGATTTTCTGCCCTCCAGGAAGGAGGAGGGGGGCAAGCGACGGGTGCACACGTCGGGGTGCACGCGTCGGGGGGCAGGCGACGGGTGCACACACCGAGGGCACGCGGCGCGATCGACCCGGCGAGACACACGTCGGGGGGTGCGCGGGCCCGACAGGGCGTCGGCTGCCGCGCCGTCGCCCTGCGGCGGCGGCGGCCGCGGCGGCGCCCGCCACGGCGGCGCCCGCGGGACGGGCGGCAGCCGCGGCGTCGAACGGCGCAGTGGTGGAGGCCACAGCCACGGCAGGCACGGCCGAGAAGCTGGCCGAACTCCAGAGGGATATGGAGTTGGATGGGGGAACGAAGAATGGCGCAAACACAAAAACTCGGAGGTCCGCGCGGATTTCTCGGATCCGCGCTGGACTCCCTGGCGCGCTCCCCGCGCCAGGGAAGGGGGTCCAGCGCGGATCCGAGAGATCCGCGTGG